GGAAATTGTGAAATTTATGTTTAAGGGTCAAAAATAGAAGAGAAAACACAGGTATGGAGTGAATTCCCTAAGGCCCCTATTACACGAGGTAGCCTGGCGACGTCGCCAGCGACTAAACTGGCTACTCAGCTTGTCATGGGGCATTGATTCTTGTGGATGTTATTACACGAGGGTAGCCAGCGACGCAGCCACACTTTGGCGACCGACTGGCTACCGAGCCCCGTCGCCACTGCGGTAGCCACTGGCTATCCATATTGGCGACGCTGCATTGTAGCATATGGAGCTTATTACACTAGGTCGCCAGTATTACGTCGCCACTCGGTTAGTTCATATCACGGGGGTACTTGCACACTGTTGTGTTGCGTTCTGTTGTGTTGTGAGTGTGTGAATTGTTCACTTCAGTTGATAAAATGTCTATATCATCCTTTATGACTCGAAGAAACTGGATTGTGACATACGAAAATAATTGAAACATTTTTTATTGTCCGCACAGAGCTCATCAAAAAGGGTGTAATATAACCCTTTTGATTCTCTTGCACTAAGCATTGGATGAACGTACATTTTTCTCTTCCTTTGCCTCCTTTTCTTCAGAAGTAACAGAAGGAGAAGATACTTATAATCACTCATTATTCACTGTAAACACCGCTCATAACAAGTACAAGTGCAAGACGAGCACTCACAACAACGGCGCCACGGCGGTAAAATTCTGGCTACTCAACTGGCTACTCAACTGGTTATAGGTTTGGTGGCCAGTGCGTCGCCAGCTACTGCCGCTGGCGACGTCGCCAGGCTACCTCGTGTAATAGGGGCCTAAAACTATCGTTTATGGATGGCGTATTTTAATTTTGTAAATGTTTAGTAATATTTTGGATGAACATAGCTTTGGCGAGCTATTGACATTGAAGACGACGCACACCATTTGAAAAATACACGAGGTTTTGGATTCCTGTTAAACCAGAAGAGTTAAATCTCATACATTCTACAGCACACATGTTAACATGTCATCACTTATTTTGTCGATGACAATATTGGTATTTTAAAAGCATATTTACCATTTAACAAATCCATTCCATAGCTGTACAATATAGCTATGAAAATAGAGCAGCAAAGGGTGTGTGAGCGAGCGACTTGTCGCCTAGTATGGCCGGTGCCATAAGATAACATGGGGAGCGTATTTGTCGCCGAGACCGAAAAACGCTCCCGGTCGCGTTTGTTTTTCTGTCGCCGTTGGTCGCTGGTCGCGAGTCGCTTAGTGTGGCCGCCTCCATTTAATTTAATGCTACGCACTTTCATTCATTGAAGCAGCGACTTTGTCGCCGCGACAAAGTCGCCAAGTGTGGCCCTAGCCTTAGTATAAAAAAAACTTCGTTACCCTCCTTGTATCAGCAAACACAGGTAAATCCTAATGTTATTAGATTTAATTAAAACTCCTAAGAGGCACATGGAAATTCGCTTAGTCTGCAGGTATGCTGCGGTGAGGGCATTTCTTTGCCACTTTAATGTCATTGGACACAACTGATATACGTTGATTACATTAGCATTTTCATTAGCATTGATGAAATTGATAAGTATGACGATTTCATGGGTGTTTTAACAGATCACGATGTTATGATGTTATGTTAACTTACGATTCATACTAGTGTTTCTAAAATGAAAAAAAAAAAGTTAGAGTATAGAGGATACGTGAATATATATTTTACAGAATAACAAGTATGTTGGTAATGAAGTAGAATTATTATAAATATGCACCAAATGTAGCTTTTTTTATAATATGGAACATAATTGAATAAGCCACTCACAGACTGTGCTATAATTGGAAGTGAAATATTTCATGTGATAAAAAAGATGCTATAACTTACAATATGTCTTCAGTCTTCCTCTCAGTTTGACTTATGGCGTTTTTGGGAATTTTTCGTCTGGCGAAAAATTTAGGGTGGCATGTCTAGTTGTATGTTCAGATGGTGTTACATTTTGTAGGTTTAAAAGTTGAAGTACAGTTAGAATACTTAACTTTCCATGATACCCTTTCAAAATTTTTAAGACGTAAAAAGCTTGTATTAGGTCTACCGTATAAAAGAGGATGATATGAATAATACGTCTAATATAAAATGTATTCAAAGAAAAATAAATTGTCTCATTTCCCTTTTTGTAGCTTTGTATAATTTTTATGTTAATTTAAAGTTTTAAACGTCATTAGTGCAGTCAAAAGTTTTCAAAATTACAAAATAGACTTCATATTTTATTGTGGAACGAAACACACTGTTTAAAGTCATTAATAGTTCACGTTTCTACTAGTATATTCAGATAATAATTGATTTGATTTTTGTTAGTTTTTTTTTGCTTTTTCAAATCACATAAATAAATATCACAAATAAAATCCGCAAACGCAAAAAATTCCTTGAGGGAAGTAATATTATCTTCTCGTGCATCGCAGTGCAAATGCTAGAAATATAATCCATTGCATCCCCTGTCACCTATCGTCAAACTCCATGATAATCTTGGCAGCAGGGGCGGCCAACCTGTCCCACCCCGACCCCTAATTAGTGATGGGAAGGTTGTCCATCCCTGCAAAACAGGCCAGAAATTCACAGGTCAATTTTAGCCCTGGGAAAGGTTGTCCGTTTCCCCCTGGTTGGTCGCAAAAAATGATTCTTATACCACGTCGAAGGGTGGGTCAAAGAGTATCTTTGTGGATATGGACGACTTTTAAGAGGGGTAGCGGATTTTTATCCCCCTGGAATTTAACCCCCTGGGCAAACGTGACGTCACAAACCAGGGGGTAAAATTCCGGCCGCGAACTTTTGAGTTTCTTGGATTAAACGCTGAATTAAACATATATTTTCACGGTTATGAATTTAATCAGAACACATCAAATTATAAAAACCTAGAGTGTACGACCCGGAATTTTACCCCCGGAATTTTACGCCCGGAATTTTACCCCCCGGATTTTTACCCCCGGAATTTTACCCCCTGGCGAGATATATAAATTAGTGAGAATGATTAATTATCTTCATTCTGTTTTAATTTTATAGTAAACATTTTATTATCAAGTAGCCTACTGTATATTAATTTATTTGTAACATTAACTAATCGAACAAGTTTTTAATTTTAATTTTGAGATTTAGTCCAGTCAAGAAATGAGGTGTAGAGTGCGTGAGCAGGTAACTAAGCGATTCCTTCAGAAACTTGTTCAGGGGGCTTAGGGTGTTAACATACCAAAAGTCCTGACTCCTAGGTGGTGAGCCAGGGGGTGGAGAGGGGCAAAAGGGGGGGGAGAAAGGTACGCATTTTGGGTTTTTTGATTATATCTCGAAAACTATCAACTTTTTGTATACTATAGTAAATTATAAAATTGAAGAAGATTAAATTTTCTACAAGAAAAGTATATAATGTGTTTATTTTGGTTCAACAGATTACGAGTTATAACTTATTTAATTGATATCTTATTAAAATCTTCTTCCATAAGAAATACATGTAAATTAGTATGCGAAATGGGGCGAATCCTATCCGCCCAAAGGAAATATAAATGATATTCTGGAAATATTGACAAAATTTCCAGTAATTTGACACTTTAATCATTAAAATTGATCCAAAATTAAGGCGAGGGCGAGGTAACAAAATTTCGAGTTTTGGTGTTTTTTTATTGGAAATATAAAAAAAAACCTTAAATCATCCCATTTTTAAACGCTCACCCTCGCTTTAATTTTTGACAAAATTTCGTGATTAAAGTGTCAAATTACTGGAAATTTTGTCAATATTTCCAGAATATCAGTTATATTTCCTTTGGGCGGATAGGATTCGCCCCATTTCGCATACTAATTTACATGTATTTCTTATGGAAGAAGATTTTAATAAGATATCAATTAAATAAGTTATAACTCGTAATCTGTTGAACCAAAATAAACACATTATATACTTTTCTTGTAGAAAATTTAATCTTCTTCAATTTTATAATTTACTATAGTATACAAAAAGTTGATAGTTCTCGAGATATAATCAAAAAACCCAAAATGCGTACCTTTTTCCCCCCCTTTTGCCCCCCTCCACCCCCTGGCTCACCACCTAGGAGTCAGGACTTTTGGTATGTTAACACCCTAAGCCCCCTGAACAAGTTTCTGAAGGAATCGCTTAGTTACCTGCTCACGCACTCTACACCTACTTTTGGATCATTCATTGACTGGACTAATTTTAGAATTAGGATTCGATTTTTGAAGCCAACAGTTGGTTAATATGACGTATAAAATATCAACTTAATGATAATTGTTTCGAACATTTCATTACAAAATAAATAAATAAAGATAGGCTACTAAATAATGAAATGTTTACAATTAATTAAAAACAGAAATAAGAAAATCAATCATTAAATTTCTAAAATCGGCCAGGGGGTAAAATTCCGGGGGGTAAAAATCCGGGGGTAAAAATCCGGCCCGTATATCTTTAGTTGTCTAAACGCTAGTTATATGGGGTTATAGGGGGTAAAATTCTGGGTTTTATCGCTAATCTAATTAATCACGCTCTGGCTATTTTCATTAGGCCTCCAAATCCGCGGGGGTAAAATTCCGGCCGCGAACAAACTTTTGGCCACTCAGGTTCCTACGTCATAGTGACGTCAGCTTTGCACAGAGGGTAAAATTCCAGGGGGATAAAATTCCGGCGACCCGTTTAAGAAAGTGGGATATAAACCTAGATGCTAAACATTAAATTAAATAAAATTTATTCTCAACCAACACTATGTTAACTTACTGGTCTTTGATTGAACGTTTTCTTTTTCCAAATATGCGTCTTTGTATCGTAATTTTCCTCCCCCCAGTATAAGTGTTCTCTTTATGTTTCGCCGTGTGGCCGTTAATACAGCGCCCAGCCAAAATCAGTTGTTTCAATGATTCTGAAAACCAATCATAACTATGGAGACATTGTCAGCTGGTATCCGACCAGTGGCCAGTGTAGGCGGCGTGACCTTGACGCGATAACAGCTCGCGGACAGTCGCCAGTCGGACTCTAGCGTCCACTCAGTGGTGTGCTAGTCGTGGTGATCTGAACTGTATAGTCGTGGTGATCTGTACTGCATAGTCGTGGTGATCTGTACTGCATAGTCGTGGAGCACCGCTTATCGTGATGTGGCCCGTACTACCCGCTGGATATGTTCACACTACGTGCAATATAGGATACTCTCCTCCGACCACGCCGCTCACGAATATAGAGTAAGTGCAGTTTAACGTAGAAATTGAATCTCAAATAAATCGTCATACGTGGTGAAACCCATCGAAATCGACGGCTATCCTTCTGGTTTCACGCAAATTCAACTAATACGGTGGTAAATGGTTACGGTACAAAATGTGGTGGATGATTTCGTTGAATACGATATTCCCGGTTGTTTGATTGGCTACAGGAACCCCGAGAGGTGTTGCGGAATCTTCCGTTTGTTACTTGTTCATGAGTATTCAACATACAGGAAAATAAGAAGATATAAAATTGGGTCTGTCATCTGATGAAGAGAGTTAAAAGTACTAACTGGTTTCATCCCTTTTGGGGGAAAACTTTTTTATCATATTTTTTTCTTAAATTCAAAAATTTTAGTGGGAGGATGATGCAGTTAGCTTTTTTATTTCATAAAATATACCTGTTTGTCCAGAAAGCAGTAACAATATTTCGAATGGGGTCTGCTCTCACGCTGTGCGATTTCGATAGGCCTACCTTTCCTTTCCATGTCGGCCATCATCCTGTGCTTCTTTGCTAATTATTATCCTTTTGTGATATTAGGGCATGAAGTTGATATCAAACTTGACATTTATTGACATAAGAAGGTCAGTTGCTTCTGTCGTATTGATTGCATAAAGATGTGCATATGATCTCTTTTATATTCTTTGGATGGAATGGACCTTACTTGTAGTGAAAAATTAGGGGCCAGGTTCGTCGTAGCTTAGGTTGGATTCGTTGATATCAAATAATTTAAATGAGGTGTGATTGGATGGCACGGTTGTATATCCGAGTGCTTCCTATATATAGTGTGTCATATATTATAGTTTAGATACGATGTTTATCGTTAATCAAAATACCCCACAAAGTGTTAATAGATCGTGATTTGAGAGAGCCTAACCTTCCCAATAAGTCATCAGATGCTAAAATGTAAATAATGTAAAATGTAAATTATGCTTGTGCAAATATTGGTTCTCATAGTTAAGCGCAGTAGGCCTACTTTACAAACTTCTTTTTAAGAAGAAGAATCTGTTGGCCCAAGAGCAATCCATTCTGGATTATGAACATCACAACCCAAATGCTTGTATTAAATTTGGCCTGGAACTCTTCATAGTACCGGGTTTGAGCAGTTTATGTATATGGGTAACTGTTTTTGTTTTGGTATTTTAAGGCTGCTGCTTGATGCACTTTTAGAATATTGTTTTTGTCGAGTATTGCTTGTAAACCAGGCACAACATTTTTGCTAACTTAATTGTATTCAAATAATTTCCAGGAGTTTTAGTTCAATTAGTGCATACTATCGTTTCAAGCTAAATGTATGCCGACCGATTTATCAAAGTAACACCCCATCGACAATCTTCCAGCTTTATGACTTTCATTCCAAAACTTGCCTACGTTTCTCCATGAAAATAAACTTCTAAGACTCATTATAAAATTTTGCCTAGTCCCTATTATTCACGTAATTCGCAAAAACCTGAACACGGCTCATATTATCGGTAACGGTATTCCTCTACACTTGGTTTTATCTTATGACACAATATTCGTTCCAATGATCAAAAACACATATCCCAATAATCTCACAAATCACGTACATTCGTGGTTATTTTCATAAATTATCTTTGAATGTGGACGAAAAAGGTAAATACCAACCCCTACAATACTGTAGATGTACGTTAACTCTATAAGGAATAATTAACTGTTTTATAAATCAATAAATGAATGTGTTTTCCCGTTTTCCTTTTAGATTGAGATGTACCACTGTTTTCATAATGGCATATTATTTAGTTGCGTTAAGCTTTTTATTTAGAACAAAAAGAAATAGTGAGAATAAATTTAAACACAAAATTTCTTTTAAGCTACTATATTAGTAAAAATACTATGCAGTATATATCAATCTTCAATCTATATATTTATAGGCAAGCATGTTTCTTTAAAACCTTTTTTCTCAACTCGTGTGCACCGCAGGGAAAATCTACCTATACTGTTAGAAAGATATTTTCCTGTAGATGTTCAGAATCCCTTTATAAACTGAAATTGGCTCAAAAATAAGCAGACAAAATGAATTTTGAATTTGAAAAAGTTAACATGGGCCATGGGTTGCCATACTGGTCACGAAATAACAACGAAATATAAACAGAAAATCAAAATAAATTAAAGAAATTCCAATCACATGTTTTATTTACAGCGTTAGGTAAAAATAGTCTGTATATTGCATATTTTAGGTCAAGTTTTCAACCATTGGGACGACCTCTAGTTTAAATAAAAAAATAATGTGGGCTTAACATTTTATTATAACAATTTTTTTGTGATTGTTTATAACACATGTTCTGACTTGTAATTTAAATGCTAACAGCTGTATCATAATGTAAACAATTTTTTTCTCAGAAGAATAACATGGGGAGGGAACTTTAAAAGCCACTGGAGCAAAACCCCTAGGGAATTGATCTTATTTCTTGATGGTTCATCTACAAACCAAGACCTCTCTTTAGACATCCCTACTAAGTTTCTACGCCCAGCCGTTCTCCTTCATTTTTAGTAGAGACAAAATCCTGTTTCTTTTCTCCATAAGAATACCATGGAAAGACAACTTTGAATTGTGCTGGGGTAGAGCCCTAAGGGAATTTACTACGTTTCTCTTTTATTGGCCCATCTACAGACCAAAACCTTTTCTTTATACACCTCTACCAAATTCCTACGCCCAGCCGTTCTCTCAAATTAGTGGAGACAAAAATCAGTTTAGCCACACTCATTCAGCCACAGAAAATATACTACTATATCCCAGCAAGGCAAATAATGAAATAATGCCGTCTCCCGATGGATGTTATAAAACGTGAAAAACAGGAATCTCGGGATCCACTATCACAGGATACCAACCGTAAAAGTCATTTCTCTGGACCCAGGGATGATTGCGGTTCAGAACCTAAGGAATTGCGTTTATATTTTAGATCTGTGAGGTTGGACCCTGACGGTATTTTTATAGAATTGGCTTTGACAATTTTAATGCCTCATGAATCGTAATTTATTCAACATTGTATGAATAAATATTGTTTAACGTAAAAGCTACAGGATACCAACCGTAAAAGTCATTTCTCTGGACCCAGGGATGATTGCGGTTCAGAACCTAAGGAATTGCGTTTATATTTTAGATCTGTGAGGTTGGACCCTGACGGTATTTTTATAGAATTGGCTTTGACAATTTTAATGCCTCATGAATCGTAATTTATTCAACATTGTATGAATAAATATTGTTTAACGTAAAAGCTAAATTTTTAAGTTATATAGGATCAATATACGCAATTCAATAATCCTAGTATTTATGATTAATATGAAATGTACAAACAACCCAAAAACATTAATTTAGTCTTGGTCACTGTAAGAACCAAATTTTACCAATGTTGCCGTATATGAGTAGGGGTAGATTTATATATTTGTTAATTTATTATTGAAATCTTTAGTGAGCAAAATTAGCGGAAAGTACAAAGTACATTTAATATATGTATAGTCCTTTCATATTTTCCCGCATCTCCTGGTTTAACATTTTGAGTAAAAAGACACAAGGAAATAAATTTTTAATATTATGTAGGGGATGACCCAACTCCGCGTAATTGACGAGGACAAGTTTTATAGCCCCCGAAGGGTCCAGTCCAACTCCGCGCGGTGGCCACATCTAATCTCTACGCTACCCATCAATATTTAACTTGTACTTGTGCTCTCGGACGAGGTATGATGTGTTTGTATGATGTACAAAATATTGTTCATGACTACTTTATTCATGTGACAGGTTAGGTTTGGTTTGGTTAGGTTAGGCTAGGTAAGGTTAGGTTACGATAGGTCAGGTTATTGATAGGTAAACTCAAATGAAACGTAAGTGTTCTCTTCTACACTGGTTAACTTAATTTCATTTGTTGCTGTGGTTTCGTAAATGATGCACATGTATAACAATTTCAAACTTCAAATACAAACTCTCAGCCGTCAGGGCTGTGAGAGCCAAAATTGACCATCGCGCGGAGTTGGACAGTCGGTTTTGACAGATTTCTGACCACCGCGCAGTTAGGATAAACCCATTATGTAAAAGGATAGCTTGGATCTCGCTATTATCATTCCCCACAGAATATTTTTATTTCACCAGGCTATATAACTCCTCATAAATCAAACTTGAGCTCATAACACAACCGAAAACGACTTCTCGGAATCTGAAGTAAACAAGAACTGGTCTTTCCCAATAAGACATAACTACCGTGTTACCAGACTGGTGTCCCTGTGTGGCCAAAGTATTTATATAAAACATGGTTGTATGGTAGAAGACTCGGTACTCTAGATTTGCTTGTCATCAACGTTTGTCCAAGATAAATATTACTAGTACAGTTTAATAAAACAGCTGAAACATTAAAGCTACAGTCACGCAGCAAGAAATAATGTTTTCGTTGTTTGATAATCTACGGATTAACTATTTCTGAACACTCAGCTGAATACATGTTTGTATATTACTCGTTGATTCAGCAATGTCCATAGTGTTTATTCAATTCAAGTTCAGTTGAGCAGATGATGAGCACAACTTTCGCATTTAGGCCTATACTGTAGTATCAAGATCTTCTCTTGTCAAACTCCGAATGATCAAGTTCAGATATTCAGCTCTAAACACGCGCTTGAGGACATCAATGCAAACTGTCACAACTTGTCAATTTTACACGAACTACAGTATATTTGAATGTAAAATCGCTGCAGGTTTCCTGTGGCGGGAATATTTTAAAAGGTCGCCAACACTTATGTCTTTAGGCTACTTTAGACAAAAAACGCAGTTCATTGTCGCTGTTTGTCACTGAGATGGAGACGAATACTATATTATGATGGTAGTTGTAGATGTATCAAGTGAATGGGGTCTGACGACGTTTTTGCACAGCCAGATCGACTGATTTGCATACTGAACCTGATCACTGGCCATGTCCCACCCGTTACCTCGCTGTAACTGCCGATAAGTGCCTAATCTCGCTAAATTACACGGATC